TAATCATATTTCTGCCAAGAAAGCTACTAAAAATGTAGTTTTTTTGTAAAACTGCTACAATCTTTGACCGGTCAAAAATATGCAGTCAACTGACCAGTCACTGACATTTTATTGAAAGCTAGAGACGGTCACTGATCAAATCAAATGAGACAAATATATTTTAGATTTCTATAACTAATATTTTAGCTGTACTCCATATCCAGCTAGAAATACTGAAAGTTCTATTCAGCTGCAGCTTTTACTAGCAACAACAATCTTGCTTTTATTTACAGAGTACCTTCTCTCTTTGAATAAATTAGTTCTCAGATCTGACATCAGTGACATTTGTTTGGCCTTTTAATAAGTCAGAAAACACTAGCAACTAATATTGCACAAACTGGATTTATATGTTTAGACATAAATCAAAATACTTGCAAGCTTTGTCAGCACAATTTTTGGCTGTTAGTGAGTTCTCTCTTGTGTGCCATGTTGAAGAATATCTATTGCCGGAAACAAAATATTTATTCTTGTTTTCTTTTGTATCTCTTTCCAGCACCTACACAGTAGGCTTTCTGAAGTGTTTTAAAGATATACAAAAGCTTAAAATCATATGGAATTCTTCTAGTCTGCCATAAATGAAATCAACATGTGGTTTTGTTGTACAATGCAAGTCTTTTAAAAACTAGCCCAATTTCTTTGTGTTCCAAGACAAATTCAACAGTCAGTTCGTGATGTGGCAGCTGATAACAGAATTGTGGACAGCAAATCATTCAGAGTCTTGAAGAATCATTCACTAAGTGATCAGTCCTATGAAGTATCCCTCACTCCTGCCCAGAATCACTACTTTAAAGCCTTTTTTTTTTTTTAATCTGCAACAATAAAGACAGCATCTTCATTTACTTCTAAACAATGAAATGTGGCAGACAAACTCTGGAAAACATTCACTACTGCCGCCACCATCAGCTTGCCAAATATGGTTGATACTTTGAAGATCAGCATTCATATTTCATTGATGTTTATTAGTTTGT